GAGCCAGCAGCAGTTTTTTCTTAAAATCCTCCAAGAGTATAACATGAAAAAGCTTATTTTTTTAATCTAGCTGTTGGATTAGAAATGGACTGTCTATTTAAAGTAGTTCATTTATGGTTATTGGAGTTATCAACATACTGGGATTAGTTTCTCCTATCTTTAGTTTTTGGTCTTTTTAATTTCTTTCTTTTTTTATTTCTCCTCCCATTTTTGGATTGTGTCTTTTTCCATTTTATCCCCACTGTTTGTAGGTTGTATGCTTTGTTCCTATTATTTAATTTGTTCCCCTTGAAATTTTATTATGCATCATAAACTAAACAAAATGTATAATTAATGTTATAAACCTTTTTAAAAAATGATATAGGACCATAGAAAACTTAAACTAAAAATTCTGTGCTATTATATAGTATTTTGTTCTGTTCTTTTTTTAACCCCACATAATAAAGACATTAAAATTAGACTATTTTGCTTGTCAGTAAATCTGCATATATACCAATTTCTTTGTTGTTATTTCCTCTGTATCTCAAACCTTTTTTGGGATTTGTTTTCATTCTTGCTGAAGTAAATGATTAGGGATTATTTTTTTTTATTGAGACAGAGTCTAACTTTGTTAACCTCGGTAAAGTGCTGTAGTGTCATAGCAACCACATACTCTTGGGCTTAAGTGATCTTCTTGCCTCAGCCTCCCTAGTAGCTGGGACTTACAGGCACCTGCCACAGCGCCCAGCTTTTTTTGTTGTTGTTGTTGTTTAGCAGGCCGGGGCCAGGTTTGAACCCACCAGCCCTGGTATGTGTGGCCAGTGCCCTAACCACTGAGCTACGGACATCCAACCTAGGGATTCTTTTGATGTCCTGAAACTTGCAGTCATGTTGAATTCTATGCCCTGTTTTGCATTGAACATAACGATACAGATAAATTGTATATTTTATCCAATTTTATCAGTATCCTGTCAGGAGATAGGAACAGAAACCACTTTGAATGTTTTAAATAGAAAGCAGTATGATTTAGGGAAATAAGTTGCAAATTACTAAAAGGGATAGTGTAACAAAGGGGATTATAAGATGATATAGAACTGAAGGATTGCTGAAAGCCTTTACCCTGCAGGAGTACTGTCCTGAGCTCACCATCTTCTGTTCCCACTGATAGACAGGTGCTATTAGAGTCCCTGATTATCTGCTAGATGTCCCTCTGTAGGAGCTCACAGGGACTGCTTCTGTCTACTCTTGTTGGCACCATCACCAGGAGCAGAGTGGATTCTTTTTTCCCATGCCTTGCAGTGGTGTTGATGTCATTGGCAGAACCTAATAAGAACTCACTGTGTCAGAATGTTATTGAATATCCAAACATTTGAACTTGCTTATGTAAGGCCTGAGAACTACCTACATCTATGGAAGGTTAAAAATGTTTCTACAGGGCTCATGAAGAGTGTCATGGAAGTCTTGATGATAATCTTTACCACATTTAAAAATGTAGCTTAGGTCATATTATCTTATTGTTAAATGCAACTGAAATTCTGAATTTAGCTAGGAAATTGCAACTAGCAGGGATTTGCTATATTGTGCTATGTATTTGGCAAGAAATCTCAAGAATTTTATTTTTGTAGGATATATTTATAAATACATTCTAAAGCTAAATGACATTTTTAGATGTTAAATGCTATTTGTCCAAATCGGTGAGCTGTTAATTTGATTGAGCATGCTTAATATCATATATAAATGTACCTGTAAGTGTATTCTATATTAAGAAAGTAAGGGAGTGCCAGAATTGTGTACAACTTTTTCCATTTATGTCAGATAGAACCAGCAGAAACACTGAAAACTAGGGAAAAATTACTACCTTCCCAGAATTTTAAGGACTCTCCTTAGAGAAGTGTTTCTACAAAGGAGGTAGAGAGCTCTGATTTCTAAGGCGGTGGAAAGCTGAATTGTTTCAGTGGAAATACAGGGCTCCATTAACACCCTTTTAAAGGTGCTGGGCCTGATGGATAGCAAACAGTTTGAAGTCCTTTTCAGCCAGTATCATTTAAAACCAATCATCCAGGGAAACCCAAGAGTAGTTTCTTCCAATTCTACCTACAAGTTGCAGCAAGCTTTTGGAACACCTACGGAGTACAGATGTCTGCCGTGAAGGGTGAGCCATAGAGAAGTTATGTAGTGACCTAGCCCACCTTCCTGCATTAAACTGGAACCTTGAATTTACATTATTTCTCAGGCTTTTGTGATGAGTACAGTGTAGTCAGATCTTACATGGGGTTAGATTGTAAAGGTAGTCTGATAGAAAATCACATATAACTAAAATTACAGAACATCCTAAAGAAGACAAGACATAATCATATTGGAGACTGCTCCATCAATTCTCATTAGGGCATTTAAGTCACTTCTATGTCCAGCGTTTGCACAGATAGCTCTGGTGATTCTTCAGTTGGGTGCCAGCTGAGGCAATAGGTGTGTGTTGTAGGGCTGAGGTTTTTAAACACTACAACGATAAAGTTTAAGCTTACAATCTGAAAGATACACAGGGATAGGAATAATGTGGGAATGGCAGAACTGCGTCACATACCTCAACATTTGATCTCTCTCTGAGGTGTATCCCTTTTGTCTGGAATGACTGGCCAAGTCACCCTTCCTATTTAAATTCTCTTTTTTCTGGCTGAGCACACGTAGTTGAATTTTGTGTGCATAGGATAAATAAATGGATGTGATCACTGTAAGGAGACTGAAAATCAACATAGATGTTTTGAAATTGCAGAATAAAAGAGAAAGG